CAATAATTTTTACGGCGACGTACTACATGGAAAATGCATTACGGATTCAAACTACCCGACCGTTCACGCCCTGGCAGAGCACCATGCTTGCCCTAGAACTGACTGCCCTACATATCGAGGGGGCCACCGCCGTGAGCATACGCGACACACACATGCCACAACGAGACCTCATCACGCACACTATGAACAACCGATCGCAAAACCTGAAACGACCAGACACGAACAACGCGCGCGCACACGCACATGAACACCACGAAACATCACGTAAACCAGCACCGATCAAACACCGACGACACACGCGCACACACATGAACACGCGCGAACACACCATGCAACACCGACGAACACCACGAACAACACGCACACACATATGAACACACGAAGCAACGCGCCACCACACATGAACACCGACGAACACCGCGGTAAACACACATGAGACCACACGAACACACACGCGCGGCACACACATTAAACACCCCCGAACACACACCGCGCGCACACACATGAACACAACGAACACACACGTGAAACACCACGCACATACAGCACCATGAATCACCACGAACACCCGCAAACACACATGAACCACCACCGAACACACAGCGCGCGCACACACATGAACACCGCCGAACCACACACGCGCGCACACACATGAACACCCGCGAGACACACACCCGCGCACACACGATAAAACACCCCGAACACACGACCGCGCGCAACACACACTGAGAAGAAAAACAAAAAAAAACACACCCCCGACACACGAACACACCGTACACACACTATGAACACACGAACACCACAGCGCACACACACATGAACTAACCACGAACACGCGCAAACACACATGAACACCACGAACACACGCGCGCACGCGTTGCAGATCGTCCGTGCACATACCCGCCATGCTTCCAATCACTGTGTTTCCTTTGGGTAGTGTCTCCATTCACAAAATATGACTATCTACAGGTGGCGCCTTAAATCACAACGTACAACTGCCTCATCTATACAACGGTTCAAATAGCACATGCACAATTACATGCGCAAGCGACCCGCAGATTCACCATTAAAATCTGTGATTAGATGAGAAATCGTTGACGTAAATAAGTAGAATAGCTAGTCTGGTCACACAGTCAGTGTTAACTTCGTCAACTACATTTCATATATGACCACTAGAATCCTAACACACAACGCGCACAGCGAGTCTAGTTACTTCATAATTGATTATGCCTGCTGGCATTACTGCGATTGGCTTTTATAAATTTGATTACGTAAAGGTCATCATTGGAAAGAAATGAGAGTAATATATATATAATATAATATATAATATACTATATATATATATATATTATATATATGCCAAATTCATTTTCATTTCAAATTCATTTTCATTTCAAATTTATTTTCATTTCATATTCATTTTCATTCCAAAATAAATAATAAAAATATCCGTAGCCATCTCGGCCACCATACAGCAGAGTGGCTACCGTAACATAGTGTCAGCCTATAGTAGAGGCAGTGTGGTCGCGTGATGAAGGCGCTCTCGCACCATGGTGGTGGGTACACGGTGATAACATCATGAAAGTGGGCTAAAGATGGTGGCAGCACTAAGTGGCGTAGTTAAGGGGGGGCAAAGGGGGCCATGGCCCCCTGTTGAAATTTTGATCCGAAAGTTAAAAAAAAATTTAAAAATATGAATTGTTCTACTAAAAAGAGAAGTGTCGTGGTCAGAATGCAGGCTGTACATGTACTCAAAAGTGTCTCAAACACAATCTTATGCGATCTACATTTTCAAAAATTTCTGGGGGAGGACCCCCATACCCCTGTTTTCGACCCCTCATTGAAATCCTGCATCCGCCACTGAACCGTTCATATATTGAGAGCAGGGCACAACGAACAAAGATGTCGCCTTTTTGCATGGCGCCCAAAACAAAGATTGCAGAGCAGAGAGGTAGGGGAGGGGGTGTGGAGAGGGAAGCGGAGGAACCACTAAAATATTAAGTCATTCACTATTTTGCGCAGTTCGCTGTTTTTGGCCCTCATCTTGACCACGCCACTGGCAGCACTATGAGAGAATGATCTATAAACGAGGTGGTCTACTGGGGCAGCATGGGCTAAACAAGATACTAGCACTGACAGAATGGTTTAAACAAGGTGGTAACACTATGACACCATGGTTTAAACCAGATGAGAGACCGGATACCAGAGAAGCGTCGCCTGAAAGGTGTTGATCCTGCCCGCTAAGCGCGGATCTTACACTATGACACCATGGTTTAAGCAAGGTAGTAGCGTTATAGCAACGCTACCCAAAACGTGCGCAATAGCAACGTAGGCTCGGCGTATTGCCAGCCAAAATGTCGATCTGGCAGCGTCCATTGGCCATTTTTACCAGAAGAGGTTGCTGACGTTCTTTACATAACTGTCACGTGAGAAACTAGACCGGCTTTTGCTGCCAACATCGCTGGTTCTCGTGGCCTTCGCACGAGTTCAGAATAGAATTGTTGTTGTTGTTGTTATTTTTGCGCGTGTTCGTGGTGTTCATGTGTGTGCGCGTGTGTTCGTGGTGTTCATGTGTGTGCGCGTTTGTTCGTGGTGTTCATATGTGTGTGCGTGTGTTCGTGGTGTTCATGTGTGTTTGCGCGTGTTCGTGGTGTTCATGTGTGTGCGCGTGTGTTCGTGGTGTTCATGTGTGTTTACGTGTGTTCGTGGTGTTCATGCGTGTGCGCGCGTGTGTTCGTGTCTGCATTCACGTATGCGTGTGTTCATGTGTGCGTGTGGGCTCGTATTCACGTGTGTGCGCGTATGCTCACGCGTGACCCTGTATATGTACCGCAGTCAGCTAGCAAGCATAGTGCTGCAGGGAGTGAAGGTCGGGTAAATTTGAATCCGTAATGCATTTTCCATGTAGTACGCCGCAAAAATTATTTGACGCCTTTAACTCGCGTTAACGTTGAATGAATGCAGCCAATATAACTGCGGCGTGAGGTTCGTTTGAAGGAAGCCATGAAGCGGTGACCGGCTGTGTGGATGGCTTCTAGCCGTACAGTCTCCTGCTAGGAGTAGGCAAGCGCAGAGTTCGTGTATAGTGTGGCAATGTCGGGTACATGGAGCACGGGGGGGGGGGAAGTGGCGAATGTTAGGAATCAGCCTTATGTCGGCTCACGCTGGTTCTGCGCAGGGCTGCATGCATGCCCTCATGATGCGAGATGTTCCCCGCGCGCCTCCGTGTCCCTCCCCCCTGTTTAACCCGCGGCCCGCGGCTTCGATCCAGTGAAGGTGTAGGCGGGAAGCGGATGGTAATCGCTCGGAGGTGAATCCGCCTCCGTCCAGGCACAGCTAACCGCTAATTAACTGTGCGTGTTCAGCATTCTGTGCGTGTTATGCTGCTGTTAAGTTAAGCAACTGTTGCTGTTGCTGTTGCTGTTGCTGTTGCAACTGTTGCTGTTACAACTGTTGCAACTGCATGCATGGGGATTGTACGCTCCGCTATGTGAGTCTCGGCTGGTAGTGACGGCACGTCCTGCGCTTTCTGTGACAGATTCAGATCGCTGTCGGGTCCTTGGAGGGAATTCTTTGCTTCGGAGGAATCTCATAACGGCGTCTGCAGAGTTGCCACGCGTTGCCGCTGCTGTGTGCGGCCGATAAAATGTCGCTTCCGCACCATTGCGGGCGTCTTTCAGCATGGCTTGGAGCTTTCAGTTATGCTAAACCACTCGCCCGTAATGCTGTTTGGGGTACTGGTTATTTTACTTGCTCTTCAGTCCCCTTGCTATTTAGTAAAACCCCATATTTAGCCTGCGCTGGTTTAATAAGTGGCTGCGGAGGGAATGATCCCCGCCCCTTAATATCCATGACCCCTGAAACGCACTGCCATACTGATATTTTTCTACTAACACGTTTTTGTCCTTTTTCAGAGAAACAGTTTGTACCGGTCAACGACAAACAGGTATGTGTGTGAGAGGATCTATGGCTCGTAGCACATCGTACAGAGCCCGATGAAAGAATGATCTATACAAACACAATATAAAACACATTTAGAATTAATTTGTTCATTCATCATTTCTCAGTGCCAATTATAATAAGAAAGATTGTTGTGCGAGTAACGCTTGCGTAAGGGTGAACTATCTCACTATTTAGTTTGTTACATTGTTTATATTATTATTATGTATTATTATATTATTATATTATTATTGGTTACGCACTGGTCCGTGTATTACGAATATCACATAATTCTACACGTTTACGAAACGTTTACGTTTACGTTTTGAAAATTTTATATATTAGTGAGTTTCTTCAATTTGCGTTCGACTTTGGAATCTTGTTTAAAACATGCTTAGCTCCATTTTCGTCGTCCGTTTACAATACAGCCACACGTGCGCTATGATAAAAATCTCAATAAGGCAAGAAATTCATCGAAGGAAGTTGGAGACGGCGGGTGAAGCGAGCGACGTTCTATTATTGGATAACATCACATCAGAGTACATACACTCATAATAACAGGATGCGTTCACGACAGGTCCCGATGGTTAGCATAGTCATAGGAGTTTAGTGAAACGACATCTTGTTATTGAGTAACTGCACGTCGCTGCGAATGCAGTTGCGATGTCTCATTAGATTTGCCTCCAGGTCAATTTAGAATTAACCACTGGTCTCGCGGAGGGTGAACAACCTGAGTAGTTATAGTTGACTACGTGCGTCGTTGAATCGATGGCCCTGCTCAATTACCATGGCGACCAGAGCAATAGGGGTGCAGGAAACGATCAGTGTGGTTACACCGCTGTGGGTCAGCCCTCAACTGTTTCCCACAATATTGCAACGTTGGGCTATATTTCCCTGTTGCAGATTCATTCTGGGCGTATAGAAGACATCAGCACCAAGGAAAAAGACAAGTTTCCACAGAACTACTTTCCAGATGTAAGTAGACGCATAGACAGATGTATCTACGCATCTGTAAGGTCTTATATTGGTATTACACGCATTTGTTCTATAGCCATGTGTACAGTATGTGTGCACGTGAGTGCGAGCTGGCTGTGTTAATACAACTTATGTGATTTATTGATGTTTAACACGTTCACTGTCATACTACAGTGCAGAAAATGCTGGTTGCGACTTTTTATTGTGCTATCTATTTTCATCCTGAAAATGCAACGAGTTATTGCAGCCATGCACCAGATTAATTTGTTGTTGTCATGTTTGGGAAGATTTATAGCATCACGGTAGTAAAATACATTGCTGCATCGCTGCTTGGGAATATGACATTAAATTAGAACAAAACATTTGTGTGATAAAACGGGCACGTAAATGGTACTGTCACAATGACAACAACGCACTAACTGCTCCTTGTGCATTACCCCGGTCTGATTTGCTGAGGTATGTGTGTCATCAAGGCATCATTTAATCAATGCTCTTGTTTTGCACAGTGCAAATGGTCGAGAAAAGGCTTCATCAGGACTCGGTGGTGTATTAAGAGCAGGTGAGAGATGCATCAATTTTATGTGACTCTGTTTACTCTATCTCCTGATTCACCTATATAGAAGGCAACTGCAAACACCGTCTCAGTTTTTATTATTATTATTATTGTATCGCCCACGACGAAGTCGGCGGGGATACTATGGTTTCATGTCTCCCCAGCCGCCGCCGCTGCCGCAGACAATTTCCCTTCCGCTCTATAACTCGACCCCTAATTGACCTAGCGCTACCAAACTTGGTATACTTACACATCTTGGGGAGAAGGTGAGCAGCGTACCAACCCCAGGTCACTGCGACCTTTATTTGACCTTTACCTTGACCTTGATCATATTTCCTTTCCGCTCTCTAACTCGGCCCCTAATTGACCTAGCGCTACCAAGCTTGATATACTTACACATCTTGGGGAGAAGGTGCGCAGCGTACCAAAACCAGGTCACTGCAACCTTTATTTGACCTTTACCTTGACCTTGATCATATTTCCCTTCCGTTCTATAACTCGGCCCCTAATTGACCTAGCGCTACCAAAACCAGGACACTACGACCTTTATTTGACCTTTACCTTGACCTTGATCATATTTCCCTTCCGTTCTATAACTCGGCCCCTAATTGACCTAGCGCTACCAAAACCAGGTCACTACGACTTTTATTTGGCCTTTACCTTGACCTTGATCATATTTCCCTTCCGTTCTATAACTCGGCCCCTAATTGACCTAGCGCTACCAAAACCAGGTCACTACAACCTTTATTTGACCTTTACCTTGACCTCGATCACATTTCCCTTCTGCTCTCTAACTCGGGCCCTAATTGACCTAGCGCTACTAAACTTG